AACAGCTAGTTTTTGTGGATGTTTCATTACTTGATATACAAATTCATAATGAATACAAGTGAGAGGAGATGGAAATGATATTTGAGTATTATTCAATGATTGCACGAGTAATCTTTCATTTGGTAATGTAAATGATATTTCATAGATTGATTTATTCATTTGATTATCAACAAACATAAATAATTGTTTCAAGATTGAATAAAATCGTTGAGATATCTTATCAGTTGTTTCTACATTAAATAAATCAAGTGATGCATTGACTGTGCATGACAGTTGATTGATGTTCATATCATGATAAACAGAAAGAGAGAAGTCTAATGCACTTAAAATTTCATAATTATTACTGTTAAATGAAAAAGATGCTGGAACAATTTGTGAGTCACCAATCATAACGACATCGTTGTCTTTGTGACTCTTGTATGATATAAATTCCAGAGATGTATCCAAAAATGCATGCTTTGATATATGTGGATGTTGATTGAGAATACGTTGAATAGGGAAATATGAATATTTCATACTATTTATTGTTATCTCTTGAACATGTTCGAGTAATTGATGAAAGTACCAATGAGGATCTAATTGACATCGTAATGGAATGATATTCTCAAACAGTCCAATGATTGATTTGAGTTCATCTCTATATCGATTATTATTGATGTTCATAGCAATACATAGATCTGTTTGTCCATTAGTTAATTTAAATAGAAAGATGAAATAAATAGCAAATGTGAGATATTCAAGTGATATGTTGTTTGATGATGCATGAACAAGAAAGTCATGTGAGAGATCTTGACCAAAATCAAAACAAATCGATGTTCCACGACCAGTTCGATGCTCATTTGCAAGACGATACCGATCAAATGGTAATGATAAAGACTGATCGAGTTTACAATCATGAAGAGCATCAAGCCAAAACATACTTGCACCAGTCATTGACATTTGTTGTTCAATAACAGCATCTAAAGGAGAAGAAAGAAGCATTTGAAATAGAACAAGGAATTAAATATACTTACAATCGATATAACGTAGAGTATTATTATCAGTTGTAAGTTGACCTGTTTTATAAGCTTGATCGAGATCATGAAGAAATATATCCATAGATGGATAATCAAAGAAAGCATGATGAAATTTGAAGATAACTATATCTTTATCAGAAAGAATGTTATTTGAAGAGATTTGTTTATAGTAAATGATATGACATCGAAAGACAAGACCTTGAGCAAGATCAAAAAGTTGAGGATTACGTTTCTCATTTTCGATAAAAGCATCGAGTTGTTCATTTGTTTCGTAAGTGCTTTCAGTAATTGTGAACATGTCATTATTGATATCGTGTTGAGTGAGAACTCTCTGCATGAGTAGATTTTTGTTAGAATCGTAGATGAGTGATGTATGAAGTGATTCATGTTTGGTGACAATAAGTTGAAAAGCATGACGAAGTTGTTATTACAATTTATTAAGAGGTAAATGGACTTAACCGACCAAGTGCATGTTGCAATGACGAAAATATGCAGATTAATGGAAATATTAATCTGCCAGAGCAACATTTTGTTTTTCAAACCAAAATATAATATGATTATGTGATTGTTTATATTTGTCAAATCCGCTTTAATTCATTACAAAATATAATATTTAATGAATGCAAAAAGCAAAGAGTTTGATTACCAGAAAAATTGACACTATGATATACTTTATAATTTCTATCATTCATATAAAATATTCATCAGGATCATCTATGTTCATATCTTCGAAAAATATAGAATTCATTCTTTTATTTTGCACTTTGCTTTCAATATTTTTTTTGTTAATATTATGATTTATTGATTACATTCAGTCTGTTTGATATTCATATTTTCTCATGTAGTTACGATTATATTTATTTGAATTTTACATAATCATGATTTTAATATTAATGAAATGAAAAATATTTTTCTTTTCATAGTAAATAATTTTTCTATAAATGATCTGAATATAAAAATTAAGTTTTTGAGTTGACTTAATTTCTAAATTATTGATTAAAATCTTTTAAATTTTAAAAGTAATAGATAATAAATATTTATGAAAGAAGAAATTTAATTATTATAAACATGTATAGTATGATTTATCTAATAATCATTATCTATAAATGATGTCAGATCAAATGGTGGGTAGATATGAGCGAGAGTTAAGAGATGAAATATTTCAAAAGAGACTACATGAAAATTCAGTTTTATATTGATAGTTTGATTGACAAATTGAAGTTAAGAATAAACTAAAATGAGAAGGTATTATAGGAATGAGCATCAGTTGCCATGACGTATTTCATTTCAACTACGAAAACTCATCAGATCAATGTGATACAAGAAGAATTATCTATATTCACACTCAATCGTATGAATTATGATAAAACTGTTTTTGTTTTCACTTGACTGTTTCATGGTCTAATATTTGCCACTATAAAAGAAAAGAAAAAAATCTTCTATTCTATATAAAATAAGATCAGATGAAAGAATGATAATCATAAATAGACGAAGCTTACTATTTCAAGTATATTTATATTTCAGCTATATATTGTCGTGTCGTAAAATGGTACAGGTAATCAAGTTATTGCACTTTATTATCGTTATACAACAGTTTAAGTTTTGATGATGTATAATCGATAAAAAAGAAACAATAAATTACAGTAATATACGATGGTTTATGATTGTGTCTATTCAGTATATTTAAAAACGAACGTCGAACGTTATCGTCATTCTTTTGCGTATATAATGATGGCATACATCTCTTTTTTATTTCTTTTAATAATTACTATTACAATTGCTTCACCATCAAGCACTGCTAGAAAACAAATCATCGAGAAAAATAACGCAGTAACAGGTAAACATATGAGTAGCTCTATGCATATCATATTAAAATATCGTTGATTATATTTTTGAGATCGTATTAAATGAAAAATAGATGATTTCTTTTTATAATTGATAATAAAGATGCCGCTACAATGCGTCGCCGTTTTGCTGATCTTGCTCTGTCATGTGTCCACCGAGAGTATCCAAATAAACTGGCTCATGTTCTTTCGTCAGATGATGATGTTCAAGCTCCCCGTGATTTAACGCCTGCATTTTTTGGTTGTTATGATTGGCATTCAGCTGTTCATGGTCATTGGCTTTTGGCTCGTCTTGCTCGAATTGATACAAATCTAAGTGTAGAATGTCGTCAAGCACTCGGAAAGAGTTTTGCTCAAGAAAAACTTGAGAATGAAATGAAATATATAGGTAGTGAACAACGACAAACCTTTGAACGTCCCTATGGTTTAGCATGGTTTTTACAATTGACTACAGAATTAGATGAATGGGCAAACGAAGAAAAACAAGTAGGCTTAAAAAAATATCAATCTTTCAAAATATTAGATCGCAAAAATACTTGAAATTTCAATGAGAATCAGAGATAAATTTTAGTAGAGAAATTAGCATAATTATACTTAACATGTAGATATATAGTAGATTGATATGTAATTTTATCTTGAAATTTCTAGAACTCTGAAGAAATTCATCAATGGCGTGAGAATATACGTCCATTAGAAACGTTGATTGTCTCGCGTTTATCATCATGGCTTCCAAAACTATCATATCCTGTTCGCAGTGGTGAACATAGTCAAACAGCTTTTGCACTTGGTCTTTCGCTTGATTATGCCCGTCGAATGAATAATACTGCATTTGCACAATTGATTGAACAACGTTCACTTGCATTTTATTTGGCGAATAAAAACTATCCATTTGATTATGAACCATCGGGTGAAGATTTTCTTTCTGCTGGCCTAGCTGAAGCTGACTTGATGCGACGTGTTATGTATAATAAACCTCAAGACTTTGTACAATGGTTCAATCAATTTCTTCCAACAGAAACTCTACCTGTCAGTCTCGAGCCACCATCAATAGCTGATCCGACAGATCCTAAACTGATTCATTTAGCTGGTTTATGTCTTAGTCGTGCATGGATGCTAGAAGGAATCGTTGATGTTCTATCTTTTGATACTCAACAAAAAGAACGTCATGATCAACTGCTTAAATTGAGTCAAAGAAATGCTGAAGCAGGATTAATAGCTATCGATGAAAATCATTACGAAGGAGGACATTGGTTAGGTACATTTGCAGTATATTTCATCACCCATCGAGGAATATCAAACGACACTATTGGCAATCAAAACTATACAACCACCAGTGTTGCCACCTCTTCTGCTTTTAGCAGAAAAGTTCTACTTTTTGAAGGTTTTCTGCTTTTTGGATTTTTTTGTCTTTTAAATTTTCAATGAAAACCAGCAATGCTTATGTTGAATCTGTATTGTCATAAATGAAATATTTACTAAATGACAAGCGGAACTGTACGATAACAGAATTAATGTCAGCTAAATTAAAAATACGTTTGAATGCTACTTTAAAGTGTATACTGATATATACAAGTATATATTATCGAACCAGGATATATTGGAAGCTATTAGGTCAGATGAAAATATACGTTAAAAAAAGTGTTCAGTAAATATATTTATCTATGTTTAATTTAGTTTTTTTGATTTCGTGTGCTAGAGTATAAAAAATATAATGCTAAACATTCTTCAAAATAATACTACATAATAGTTATTATATTCTGATATATGTTAATCTTATGAATATAACATTATAGATTTTATAGAAAGTATACTTTGTTTAAGGCACTGAAGATCTATTCATGATTCTTATCGATATTCACACTCACAATCATTATATGAAACAAATATTTTGCTCGTCACACTTCTATACATAACTATTAAATTCTCAATGTCATATGATATTAATATATATTCGCACTCGTACTTACATCGCCCACTAGCCAAAACCACATCTTTAACAAATCAGTTTTACATTTACACTTAATTCAAGTAAAATAATCTATATGTTCATAGTTACAAATGATAAAAATAAATTTTCATTAATTTTTCTCATTGCCCAATAGTTCAATTTGAGTACTTCAATCACAAATATATTCTGTATATGCATTAATAGATTGAAAAATAATATCAAATTAAATTTTGCTAACATTTAATGATATATAAAAAACAAAGAAAAAGTATACGTAGAATTGTCAATTATGATATTAGACTTTAGAAACAAATGCTATACTAATAGCACTTATGATTGAGTAGTTTCATTTTTTTTTTCTCTCACTATTCATGTTAAATCAGTATTGAGATAATGAGAATAGACATAGGAAAACGGAAGAATAAATGAATGTATGATTGTCATCAATAATTAGCAAGTATACTTACAAAGAAAAATAGTAATCATTAGAAAAGATCGACATTTCTCATTTAGTTGCAATGATATCTATCAAAATTATTCTCCTATTCTCTTGTATATATAATATATTAACATATACAAAAGTATCTACTGATTATGATCTTTATGGAATTAAAATTGCTATAAATGATCAATTCCTAGTTAGTATTGATAATTTTGCTTTGGTATATTATGTCGAATATTTCCCAAACACAAATAGTTCTAGCTGTGAAATCAAGTATAGTTTAACAACATGTGATTTTGTCTATAGTGTTGTTGTACCAGTCTCAAATAATCTCTCATTTGTTTATAATTGCATTGATTTTCAAGGAAATAATGTCATCGGTTATTTTATTTGTAATAGAACGTGTAACATACAACTAAGTAATGAACAGATTGTGTATAACTATACGACACAAGATAATTTTGTGATTGCTTTTAATGGAGATGGTACTGGTGTATATGGTATTGCTGATGATTTTATATTATTTTATAAAGTATATCCAACGATTGAATTGATCGTATGGTCAAACAATCTCGATATTTCTCCTCGAGCAATGGATATTGGTTCAAATCAAGAGTATGCCGTTGTAGTTGGATATTGTCAATCATCATCCACAGCTGCAGTTGAATGTGGTTTTATCATTCGATTAAATTCATCATTATCATGTCCAATAAGTCTAAATAAATTTGATATTAGCAATATTGTACAGTATCCATGGAGTGATCCACGTTCCATTCGTTTGATCACACAAAGTCGAACTTATATTGCACAATTAGTTATGTCAGTGAGTATTTGTTGGCAAACACAACGTGTACTAATTGGTATTCAATCCCTCAATACAGTTTTTTTGTATTCATTGAATGATACACATAATCCAATTAGTACTCGTCAGAATGGACTTGATTTAATGGGCTATGGAAAAAGTGTAGCATGGTTAGATAAGCATGGTAATAAAGCAGTCATTTTAGTTAATACTTATTCTTATTCAACTTATCAATGGATTTCATCATCAGTACATATTTATGATATTCAATCAGATGGATTTTCTGATTTGATACAACCAATTTATATATATCCTAATAGTCAACAAATTCGTCATCGAATTACGGATCCTTCTTTTATTCGTATCGTCTGCTCTTCTATTGGTCATTTAGGTCTTCTAGATCGTCTAGGTAATGGAATTGGTATTCTTGTAGCATCTCCAAATACTTATTCGAATACAAACACAACCATAGATGTCACAAGTACAGCACCTTGTAATCGTGGTACTAGTCGAAATTATAGTGGAATTGAATTATGTTATCCTCAGTCATCATTAATTAATTGTTCCGAAGATTTTTTCTGTCCATATGGAGCTGTTGGTGAAGTCTCCTATTCAGCATTTAAATCAATTGAACAATATCAAGAGTATCCTGATTCACCTGAGAATATTGTTTTTGATGATTTACTTATACAAAATATGTTTATTTTCAATCCAAAATCAATTCATTGTTTAGTTGTATCACCAATTACTTGGGTATTATTTTTCATAATAATTGGCTTTACTATTGCAATTAGCATATCAATTTCAGAAGTTTATTGTCCTGATCATCACTTTATTCGAGATCGAGCCAAGAAAATTTTTAGAAAAATGGATCTCATTGGTGAAGGAGAGGTATTTTATTTGTATATGTTATGATTGTAGAAGAAGAAGAATATAGATTGAATTTATTAAACAATTTCTTATAACTTAGGCTTTTAGTAGATCCATGAAGAAAACTTTGATTTTGATTTTTAATATAACACTGTTAAAAATAAAACATGCTATTCTATTTAGATGTGGTTCGGTGGTCTAATCTCAGCTGCAATAATTGTTCTTGTTGTATCAGCATATTATTTTTCTAATGCTTATCTTCATCAATATCCAATTGAATATGTTACTAATAATAGTACATTTGCATGTGATATCACGTTGCGTAATGCAAAATTCACTACAACAACTCAAAAGAGATGGGATCCTCGTCGTTCTACAAAAGAAAGTCAACATATATTTGATTTACTTAATTCTCAGCTATTTACACTTAATATTGATCTTGTTCAAACATCGTTTACTTGTAACGATTATTTTTATGTACAACGTCTTAATGGTAATAAAGTTACTATAATACCAATTACCAGTTGTCAAACAAATTACAATGAAACTACATTAAGTTTAACCATTTTACTTCCAGTTCATCAGATTAGTGTTCAACTCGTATTACCAGGATTGAAAACGATTGGAGCCATTCGACTTGGTCTTAGTGGACCATCAGCAGAAATTGAAGATGGAAGGTATAAATTACACAGAAAAATGTTTTTGAACTAATTCATAATGAATAATTTAAGAAACAGAATTAATATTTAGGTGTGCGTTATTTTTTTTATGAATCGATTGAAGAAAAATAGTTATATTATTAATAATTAATATTAAAATGTCGTTTTTCTTTCTGTAATTCAAAGGTTTGTATTGATGGCTCTCGATTTTGCATCAACGTATGTTTCATCATCATCCGATGAGGTTCTTGCTGAATCAAGTACATTTTCTATTGAATTAACTCAAATTGTCAATCAAACTGATCCATTGACTGATGATGGTTCATCTACATTCAGTGCAATTTGGTCATCCACGTTCAATGTTAATTCTGACGAACTGTTTACTAGTGAAAGTCGATATACATTCTTCTATCGAACACAAACTAATATTAGTGTTATAATTGATGAGAATATATTCTATGTTAGAAATTTACAACAACCAATTGCCAGACAAACTGAAATTGTTTTTCGTAGTCTTCTTTTCACAATTGTTGTTTTAGAAGTTTTTGGCTTATTCTTTCTTCTCATGAAATTATTTTTTATTCCAGTATCTCGACTGATATCTAAGACTGTAAATAGAATACTGTCAAAAAATCGTGTAACGCCAATGAATGGTTCAACGGTGGTCATCATGAAAACCAGCAAATCAACAAATTTGAGCCAATAGCAAACTTCGTATGATAAAATAAACAATTATCCTTTCTTTACTTTATATTATATTTAACAGAGTGAAATAAGAAATATTACTAAATAAAAATTATTTCCATTTATTTGTTCATTAACAAACTGAAAGGACTCAGTAGTATAATGATTATTCTCTATGGAAAATATCTAAATAAAACTGTATAGTTGGATTCAAAATAGGATTGATGAACTATTAGAAACAAAATTTCTAGTGCCTATTTCTTTTTATATTCAAGAATCCATAGTTATATGAAAAGTGTGTTATTTTAGTTTTGAGAAATCATACTAGATTAATTTCTCAACTTATAATATAATTAAATAAATATAATAAGCAATACTCATTGCACTTTAATGATGTACAGATATTTGTTATCGATAAGGATGTGGGGTAGGTGAGGGTGTGAGTGTGCGATAAATATAATACGCACATCCACACCCTCAAGATGGTTTTGATTGACATAGATTTTATCAATTAATAATAACAAAATCATTTCTTTTGTCACTATTAAAGTCATTAATAATAATATCATGTAGTTCAATATCAGATAAATATCTTATACTTATTTTAGACAATTTCTCTTACATAAACTAAGATAAATACTAAAATCATTATTCTTACTATTTGTCACAACAATATCTTTTCGATTATCATTATTAAAATCACCAATAACAATATCATATAAATTTAAACCAGTTGAAAATTTTCTTTCACTTGTAAAAGATCTTTTACCATATCCAAGAAAAACCATCTTGAGGATATGAGTATGCGTTTGATAATTACTTATACCCACTCCTACACCCACACTCTAATTCCGTTAAAGTCTTCTATGCTTCCTTGGATTATGAATGCATTGATTTGCGGACGACATACTGTGTTGACTAATAGTGACGTATTGAATAAGTGACGTACTGATAACATGCAGTGTTGACTTAGTGACTGACGTGTTGATAAAATGCTTTTCGATGAAAGCCATAGGATTCTATATATATATATACAGATGTTCTTTACTTGAAAAAAATCATTATACAATCACGAACAATTTATTTCAAATTTATTTTATAATAAAAAGAATTACTTTTTGTTAATAGCAAATGTCTTCTTCTTTTTCCATTCCATCAATTGACGAAGTTTATACAGCTCAATCTCATTTACGTGGTATTATAAATGAAACTCCACTTATGAAATTAAATTATGAAATCTCTGGAATAGAAATATATTTGAAATGTGAACAATTTCAACCTATATCATCATTTAAAATACGTGCTGCTGCAAATGCTATTCAAAATTTATCTATAGAACAAAAACAAAATGGAGTAATTACAGCATCAACTGGTAATATGGCACAAGGTTTAGCTTGGATTGCTCGAAAAGAAAATATTAAATGTCAAATTTTAGTACAAGATACAGCAAATGAAGTTAAATTACAAGCAGTTGAACGATTAGGAGGTAAAATTACTAAATGTAATTTCGAACAATGGTGGCAAACTATTATTACTCATCAATGTCCAATATTAGATGGATATTTTATTCATCCAGTATGTAATCGACATATAATTGCAGGAAATGGTACTATTGCTCTGGAAATATTAGATGAATTACCTGATTGTGATGCAATACTAGGTAAATTAATTTAGACAATCAAGTAAAGTTCTCTAGAAGAATATGTATAGAATGATACCAAAAGAAATAAAATATTCGTTTCTATCGAAATATATCAGTTTTATTGGTTGATAATATTATACTTCTAGTTATTTATATTTAGTTCCTTATGGTGGCGGTGCTTTGATTACTGGTATTGCTTCCGTAGCTAAACATATAAAACCATCCATTGACGTATTCGCTTGTGAAATCGAAACAGCAGCACCTCTTCATGCTGCATTTAACAATGGTGAAGTAACTGAAATTGTTATGGAAAAATCTTGGGTTGATGGTATTGGTAGTCCAAGTGTCTTAGATGAAATGTGGCCTTTAGTTAAAACTTGTGTCGATCATTCTATTGTTGTTACATTAAAAGAAACAGCTAAAGCATTAAAAATATTGATAGAAAGAAATCATATTATATGTGAAGGTGCTAGCGCAACAACAATAGCTGCTGCACTATGGCATTATATAAATTATGTACAAAATGGAAAAGCTGGATTAAGGAGAAAAGATGATAATAATAATAGAAAATTAAAAGTTGTAGCAATTCTAAGTGGAAGTGGTATTAATAATGAAACGATTATTAAATGTTTAAATGATACTTTGTAATTTATTTAATGAAATAAAGATAATTTCATTTATTTTAATATTTATAATTGTCTTTTTAAACAGAAATCTTATTATTAGACAGCTCTCAAATAAAAATAAGTTTCTTGTGTTTTCTAGAAACAATTCTTTCATTAAAAACACGAGTTTTTTTTATAATAGCCGAAAATATAGTAACTGTGACAAAGATTTTTTTAAAGAAGTCATTATTGTTATTTCTACAAAAAATATTGCTGTAAAATTCATAATCAACAACTTATACAATTGATTTTTCCGAATCCTATGCTGTTAGTCGACTGACATTTTCATCGACAGGCTATTTGATTTAGTATTTCACACGCATAGATCCTCAATATTTTTTTTGAAGAAGTGATGTGCCGACCAACTGCATAATCATTCAAAAACACTATTGCTAATTTAATGAACTACTTTATATTTTCTAGATAAGTTGTCAATTAACTTCAAAATATAAACAAGATATTCACTAGTATGAGTTGAATGATATATTTATTTGTCGAGATTTCAAAAAATTGTCATGAGTACAGCTCGAGCAGATTATTCAAGTTAAGATATCAGTACACAATTACACATATTCATGTCTAAGTAATCTAAGATGAATGGAAGACAAATGACGATAAATCAAGTGGATCTATACCAAATAGTTTTTGATCCAGTTATAAAATCGCTTGAAAATAACAACAATATATACATGATTTATTTAAAAAGACATAAAAAAGAAAAACATGTCATTTCAATAGATAACAATATACTTTAACTTCGTCGATATTCTTAAGTATTTAAATATTATCTATAGTTCGAGGGTGAAGCACCTTCTGAAAAATTATATGTCATTCTATTGGACTGTGTTTGATTATGTACAGTCACTTTCTTTTCATCTAAATTATCAATCCAACTATCGATACCACCCATAAGAATTTTGACTATGTACTATAAACAAAAAAAAGACAATGAATAGTAATCTAACACTGGATAGAACTTACATCACCAAAACCAAATGGAAAATCTTTGCCTTGACATTTCTGAATTTCTTTCTTTTCACTTTCATAATCGTCAATAACATCGAGATTTGGAATTTTTTCATCCCAATCATTCAAATATTCCATACATGTATCATCATCTAAAACAAATAACAATATAACGACCAGACTATTATTGAAAAAATTGTTTTCAACTAACCTGTACACGCAACGATTGTAACTGGTATTCGATCGATGGGTTGACGTTCATTTTTAAGAACATGTTCTAATGTATGACTATCTGGACGTTCTCGTTCATCTGTTGGTACGCCATCAGTAGCTATGATAATGAGTAATTTACGTTCATAAATTTGATTACGCTTCTCTCGAAGTACTTGTCGAAGAACAGGAACAATCGGCGTTGAACCTAAAATATTATTTAAACAACAGTCATTGATAAAAAATTTAATTTTTGTTTTATGCACCTTCTGGTTCCATAGCAAAGATATTTTCTAGTTCTGATGATTTGCGTACATTAACCATTGATTCACGATTAAGGAAATAGACATCAATACCATCAGGATCAAAAACACTAGCTAGATCGACAACAATCGATACTGTTTCCTTTAATTCATCCCCTAAAATAAAAATAAAAATAAATACGCTATTCTCATATGATATTGAATCTTACAACGTGTTTTTTGTGGTCCAAGTGGATTAGTAACATCACCTGAATAATTATGAAGTCAATATATGAATATGAAATAATAATAATTTACCGAGTGGTGCTTTCATTGAACCTGAATCATCGCAAATGAAAACAATTTCATAACCTTTCAATTTCTTTAATTTTTCAGCAAAAATTGGACTAACTACATAGATTAACATGTATGTGATATTATGTAGTTTGTAAGAAATACTCACTGTTAAAGCGTCTGATAAGTTCATCAAAATTATGCTGATATTCTTCGCGTAATTCTAAATAATTTCGATACAAATATTAGTATGAACAATACTCATGATAATTACCATTGACAACTGAAGCGTAAGATGGTGGTGGAGACAATGATCTTCGATTCATATGTGAATTTATGTTGGAGGAAAAAGAATAAATGACTAGTATTTATTCATACTATGTCTCTTATGTATGTAGGAAAAATAATTCTATCGGAAGAACGAAAAAGCCATAAAGAAAGAGTAGAGAAAGTCAATAACAGAACGAGCAAAGAATAGTAATACTGTCTCAATTATTATTCCAGATATTTATGACTCATAAAACGTAAATAATTCATTGATTTGAACTTACAATAAGTTTCCAATTTTTTTTATATTTCTACCAATCTATTCATCAAAAAAAACAAAAACACAAATTTATATTTACATTTCTCTGTCAAAATAATCTTCTCTACAATGTTTGCTAGGAAGTAATTCGTTATTTTACATCCTTCATTGATTTCAATATTTGTTTTGCATTTTTGCGCAGTTAATATTCCATTTACTTTCACTGTATGACAGCATCGTCATATTTTAAATTTAGTTATATTCAAACCAGAATAAATCAGCTTATTCATCGCAGCTACCATTGTATTCTTTCTTTCCTCCAACTACTCATAGGTGTCTTTTTCTACAGTTGTATGAAAAAAAATCAGACATCTTATATTTTTAATATTGTATAGAAATATACATTATTCGTACTAAAACATCGTCTTTTTTGAATAAATTCGAATTAATCACAGATACTTCACAACTTTCAAATATATAATAAGAATAAATGTTCAAGAGAAAAAAAAATATTGTTAGACAATAAGAAAGAATAAATAATTTAATCTTGATTACGAAGAAGATATATTTTACTGTTATATAAATTCCATGTCATTTACATCTCCATCTAACATTTTATTATAGCATGATGAACTTGGATTAGTAAAGTGTTCATGAACTATAAAAGAATAACGAAAAGAAAAATTATTAGTTTTCTATTTCAATGAAACTTACTATCGGTTTCATCGGTTGTTAAACAACGCCAACAAAATTGAATATTACATATTGTACATTTAACAGCATTACATCCAGTAAATTTATCAATTGGTGTTCGACATTTAGGACAAGGTTTGTAAGATAATTTACCAAGATTATATTCCAAAATAGCATCTTCATTTTTTTCTTCATGTAATCTTTTATATTGCTCACATGTCATACCAGTATGATATTCAACTTCGCACGATGTACAATAGACTTTTATACATTGATCACAAAAATACATCGTTGAATATTTCGATGGACGATATACCTAAAGAAACTATGACTATATTTGATATCTTAAATGATCAGTAATAAGCATTTCATACCTGTTTACAATCGATACCCATACATTGAACTAGATTATTATCGTTACGACGAATATAAATTTGAAAAGCAATCATTGCTAGACGAGCCATTCGTTCAAAGCCAAGTATCGAAACAATATCACGTATGAGACAAACTTCATTACATTCTTGAATGGGACAAGTTAATTTAAAACTAGTAAAACTCATAGTAGCATCAAAATATGTATCGAAATAAGCCGTAAGACATGAATGACAGAATGTATGTCCACATTGTTGGAATGCATAAGGACAATCAAAATCACACATACAGATAGGACAAGTATTCTTCATATCTATCATCATTTTTTCATTTGATTGATTAGATATACTTGCGAATTTATTCAGAAGTTCGTTCACTTTACGTTCACATTCATTTACTATTTCACGATCACCATTAATCACAATAAAATGTTTAATCATATTGATTACAACTCTTGTTTTCTTATTGTTTAATTCTCGAAATAAATTTGCATTTTGAATACATTGTCGAATACAATCTTTTAATATATTAAAGTATTAAATATAAATAATTGAACGTAAATTTATTACTAACCTTTGGGAATAGGAATAGTAATTGAATATTCACGTTGTAAAATTGTTTCTTGAATGAAAGTATTTATCTGTTTATGTGCATCTTGACATGCTTGATCTTCACCAAAGATTCGTAGAAATGTTGATTTCCAATTCCACCAAATATATGTACGAGTACGATTTTGAAGATCACGAAGAAATTTTTGTCCTGTTGTATCAAAAAGCATTGTAACCTAAGTAACAAGTAGAAAATAATTAATCGAGCCATAATTTTCAGTTACATTCAACTTACCCATGAATGGTCATAAAGTTGAAATAGTAGACCATTTAGTAAATCATTAAACAGTATACGTGCTCTATAAAGTTGAGGAATATTTTCTCCACGAATAGAAATAACAACATTGGGTTTGTCATTTATCATACTAGATTTTTTAAATAAATTTATATTTGAAAACTTTGAATCATCTTGGATTGTTTTTATAGTTTGTTCAAGTTTATTTTTAATTGCTTGTGCCAGTGTATCGTGAAGGACAATTCGATGGGAAATAAGAGGAATAAAATGAAGATATTTCAAACCAATATTTCGAATGGTATCATTATTTAATGAATCACATATATCAATAGCTGTTATGATTTCTCGAGGATCATGAAAACGAATATATGCAGCGACACGACCATCTTCCGTAGCTGGACGAATATCAATTTCTGGCTCAGAATAGAAATGATCTTGAGATGAAAAAAGTGATTTAAGATTCATTAATGCTTTCTTATTATCTTCAGTCATTATTATATTAGATCGATTGAATGAATAACTTTCTGGTAGTTTTATACGGTATACTGCTAGATAAGTCATAGAATTACTAAGATTATGTTGATTGAGCTCTTGTAGAAGAAATCTCTCATCGACATGAGCTGGTAATTTACTAAATTTAATACGAAATTCATCTTCTTTCATTTCATTTCTTTTTGTTGTGAATTTTAATTGTCGTGGTTGTTGTATTTTAATTCGTAATTTTCCTGAACCCATCGAAAGATTTTTATTGCTAATATCATTCACAGCTATTCGCATTTCTTGATCATCAGTAAACTGAACATAGGCTATAACATGACCATCATTTAGATTTGGTTCAATAAAAATTGATTGAGATTGAAATGATGAATATGTATTGAATAATTCACAAACAATATTTTCCATTCCAACCGGCGTAGACATCGTAGTATTTTGTCGAGCTCGAAGTATCATTACATCAGTACACTGAGTAAAAATTGCTTTCAAATTAGTTTCATCAAAATGTCGAGGAACATTTCGAACATATATCGACGTATTTGATCGTCGACCTTCTTGAATTCGAAATGGATATTCATACTGAGCTTCTAATGCCTAGAAAATATTAAAAATATACAAATATGATATTCTTTAAGCTTATCATTGGATCAATTATCCGTAAAATTTTTCTCATTCTATAATCAATACGCAATTCTTACTTCTTGAGCTTGTTCAACTAATTCAAAATGTATAATCGCATGACCATGATGAGGCGTCAACGGCCAGGAACATTTTACTGTTGGACTAACAGGATTTAATTCAAATTGACAGTTAAAATTATGTCGTTTTGAAAACAATTGATAGGCCTGTTGTGCTGCTTGAGGTTTATTAAATCCTACACGACCATTACCTTCAGATTCTGTCATATACCATTGAGCTTTCAATGTGTAATTTTGTTTTCGTGTATCGATTGATGTTCGAGTGTAACTAGGTCTGACATATATTTCATAGTCATCCCATTTTTTATGTGCAAGTTCAGTAACAGCCATTCGAGCATTGTCACATTCAACGAAGGTAACAGAAGCTGAACTACTATTTTGATTTGTTCGAATCATTGTTATATTTCGAACTATAATATTAAATTGAATGAAGGAATATTCTTTGTGAAATATGTTTAGAGAAGAAATGATTTAGTTTACCTTGTCCATATTGTTCACATTTTGTTTGAATTTGTTCTTCAGTAATTTTTTTCGGTAAATTTGTAAGAAATATTTTGACATATTCATCATCAATTAATGCTAATCGAGGTTCAGCACCAGCACCAAGTAAGATTCTAGTTGAACCAATAATTTCAAATTCTTGTAATTCATTACGTAATTTTTCTCGTTCTTTATCTAAAATCTGTTGAAGATATTGTTGAGCATTGACAAGTTTATCTTTATGACCCCATATTGTTAATTTTGATTGTATACGATCGACTTCAAATAATACATTTAATTGTTCTTCAAGTTGTGGTAGTTTATGACATCTTTTTCCAACGAGTGAAAGTAAAAGTGTTGGACCAAGATTCATAAATGTATAACCTTCGAATACACATTGTAAAGGTGAACGTGGTAATGAATCGAGCCAAGATTTATTTAACCAATCAAGTTCAACTGGACAAATAACAGTTAAATAATTTGTTTCATTAATATTAAGTATTTCATGATAAAGAATAAATTTGGGTGGTTTCTGTGCAAGAATTACTGTTGATGATCGATGTATTCGTGCAACTGTATCGATAGTACCAACTGCTAATTGATAACCAGCACGAATAGGTCCATTTGAAATAGCTAAATTTTGAAAAAAACCAGCACATATACAACGTACGATCTGTTTGATTAATTCATCATTTAATTTAGAAAAATGTAATTGAACTGTTGGAGCAATTTGATATGCTAATTCTCGAACGAATTTATATGCTAATTTCATAGATTTCCATCTAATCATATGTTTAATACACCAAGTTTTTCTACGTTCTCTATGATCATCCAGAGCATACCATTCAAGAAAGATACGTAATAAAACTATGTAATCACCACCAATATCCGTATCGTAAATGAATGAAGATCGTATTTCATCACTTAATTGTTTGGATTGATCATCTTTACTACGCCACCATATATTTTGTACTACACTTAACATACCAGCAAGAGCAAGTACATGACTGAAACAATTAAATTTTTGTCCTGTCAAAATCATAACTGAAAGCATAGGGTCAAGACCAAGTTTTGCCAAACTACGACCTAAATCAGTCAATTTCTCTGTCTTCGAATCGATTGCATTCAACCATGTTAAACATTTGACAGTTTCTTGTAGACTACTATCTGCAGGTGATTCCAACCAATCGAATTCTGCAATATTATCAACTATATTAAGATGTTTTAATTTAAGTACGGCTATACTCGGTTGAGTACAAAGAATTTCTGCTCGAGAACAAATATCCAATGATTGATAAGTATCATATGTATATAGATGAAAACACTAAAAACAATAGAATAATTATAATAAACTATTCTAAGGAGTATGAATGAATCTTTATTGTAATATTTACCTTTCCTATTGATGTTCGTCCAGCTCTTCCACGTCGTTGTTTAACTGAACTCTGTGTTGTATAAGCAGTTTTAAGTATTCGCATATGTCGTTTTGAATCCCACATGACTTCTTTGACCATACCTGAATCTATAACATATCGAATTCCATCGATTGTTACCGATGTTTCAGCAATATTAGTTGAAAAGATTATTTTACGTCGACCACCGTTACCCGTAGACATGAATATAGCTTTTGTATCATCTTCATTTAATTTACCATGCAATGGTAAAATCATAGCTGATTCAGGTGGATCAATTTTTCTCATTACTTCATCAATGGCTCGATCAATTTCATCTTGACCAGTAAGAAAAACAAGAATATCTCCAGGAGGTTGATTAGCATGAATATCAAGAACTTTATTTATTGCTTCATCAACATAATTTTCAGGATCTTCTATAGCATAAACATCTTCAATAGGAAATGTTCGACCAGGAACTTCAATTACAATTGCATCATTGTAATATTTACTTAATAGTTTATCATCAAGCGTTGCCGACATAATAACTAACTAAAGAATCAGATTATATTTAGTATTGATTAATTATAAGTCTACAGAAATTTCAAAACGTAAAGCATCTTTATATATTTTCAGTAGGAATAAACAATCCGTAATAATCAGAAATCGATACTTTTCAATACTGCTCAAAATTTGATGAGATGAATGAATGAAAAAGCTTTTTTGATTACTCTCTTAACTGTTACGATATAATATTTGATTTCGAGAATATAACTTACCTTTATATCAGGACGTCTTTGTAAACATATTTTCAAAGCACCAAAGAGTAAATCAGTATCGATGCGTCTCTCATGAGCTTCGTCAATGATAATTAAACTATAGGCACTTAACATTGGATCCATTTGATATTCATTCAATAGAACAGCATCAGTAACAAATCGAATTTGAGTTAGATGTGAAATTTGTGGACGAGAAGCACCAACATGACAACCAACCTACAGATAAAAAAACAGTTTTAAATAACCTATTAGACAAAGTCTTACTTCTTCGCCCACTTTGCAGTTAAATTCTTTTGCTACACGAGAAGCTAATTCCCGAGCAGCCAAACGTCGTGGTTGAGTACAGATAATTTGCCCTAGTTAAATATATAATTTATCATAGAAATTGATAAATGATTCAAAAATCGACAAACCACGATCAGCAAATCCAGCATCGACAAGATATTGAATCAATTGACTACTCTTGCCAGATCCTGTTTCTGCCTTAAGTATTACAACACGATTTGATTGAATTGTATCAATCAATTGTTGACGTCGTGCATAAATAGGTAAATGAGCTTTAAGACGTTCAATTTCTCGTTTTAATCTTTTTTGAAGATGTTGAGCGTCTTTTAATGTTGATGGATTAACAATAGATAGTTCTGATATAGTTTTCTCGAATGTTTCCAATTGATCTTTTAACTCTTGAACATTTGTCTCTTTTGAAAATTTTACATCGTCATCATTTTCGTTAAGTAATATGAGTTGTTCATCGATAAGAGATTGATGTTGGGAAAATACTTCAGGTAGACTTTCCTATCAAGAAAAATTTGAACTTAAAATTAAAAACATTCATTTCTTTGATTATGTCAAAAACTTCACATACCTCAAATAGAACTTTAATTTCAGCTTTTGAGTGTTCTATCCAAATTGATGAATCTATTGTAAATGATGTAGAACTATCGTTCTTTGAAGAAATCGATGCGGAATCTGATATGTTACAATTGTTAAAATTTATTTGCATTAAATTCTGTGGTTTCGGCACTTTATTTGACTGTTGATTAGAATCAAATTGTTTTTTATGAGAATAGATTCCTTGATGGTTTGAATGATCACCAGAATATGGAGACATCTGACGTTGTGTTGTCATGGTATAAGACGAATTTTGATTATTAGAATACGATTGGTATGGTTGTAATGAATCAACGTTTTGATCTCCATATTCGTATTGATATTGATCACACGATTTATTATAATTATTCCGTTTAGAACTAGAATAATTATGGAATTTAGTGTAGTATTGTTCATAATGTGCATATTGACAAGTTTCAAGTTGCGGACATTGTGAACCAAATTTACAGTATCCAAATTTGTTTCGTGTCGAAGCCATTATTGTGATAGTACTTTTGAAAAATAAATGTGTTTTGTTTCGTATGCGTACTTCAATATTAAAGTAGGTAAAAACCACTAACAAAAAAAAGGTACAGAATGATAAAAACAGATGACTCATGAAAATTTTATCCACAATGGGAATTTTTTTTCCATATTTTACCCGAACAAATAGAAACGAAAATTATGACATATTTTTTCAACGATACCTAACGACAATTAGTATGTAAGTCTTCAATCATATATGATTCATATATTATTGCAACATACCAAGTATTCTTCTAAATATTGGTAAACATTTTTAAAGATGGCGCATAAATCATTCTAATTTTTTGAGAATACAACTGTAGGAAATATCCAATATATCTAGTGATATACATATTGGTATATTCCCTCTGATCATGTTGGAACATTCCCTGTATTCTTCTACCATATATATACATGGTTCTTTCCTTTCCTTTCGTCTAGGTATGGGATAATTTCCTATCGTGATCCTACATATATGTACACGCACACATACGTGTATGTTTCGGTTCTACACAAATTTACAACAACAAATGTAAGGGTTATTCATTTTGCGTTAAAAGTCATTTTAAAGTCTGAATAATCGAATGAAAAATAGTAATACTAAGTTTAACTAAGAACATATTGAGATAATTGTGAATAGATTTATTGTACATGGTTAAAATAATACAATGACTACCTATATATGTAACTTTCCTGTATGCTTGACTTCCTTTTTGTGAAAGTCTGAAACATATTGTAATATCATATAATATATAGGATACATTCATCCTGAGAATATGTATTCAATTTCAAACAACAAAAAATAATTGTGAATATTCGTCGATTCGTTTATCTCCCAACCTTTATTTTATCAGACTGAATGAAGCATTTACTTCAACGATTTGAAGAGAAAATAAATGGTGAATATCAGAAAAACTATGAGAAATATTCTATGATAATAAATTTCGTTTTAATTTATTTTAATAAATATTATTCTGTGAATACATCATTTTCTTGATTATGTCTGAAAAAAGTGGTATAATGTTCATAAAATTATTTTACTGAATTACTAATAATCTCCTAGATTGGCCATTTTTAAATGTATAATCCAAATATTGTTTGAATCTGGCAATTCACGAATATTACAGATTTGAAAGACACTACCCATGGCAAATAGAACTTCATCTTCATCGGGAAACATTGAATACTGTGATATATTAGCATATGGACGCGTTCGTGCTTGTGAATTTGCTTCAATGCTAAATATTACTGAGATCAAATCGGGATTTTCATGAAATTTCCCGGCATACATAAGAGCAACTTGCATTGATGTTGTTGTTGATAAAAATGTATTAATCGATATGATACTACCTCGAAGATCTTTGAAAGAATTAAATTCTTCATTTGACATTGATTGACCTCGATAAAATATGTCTTCTCTAAATGGTCGATAAATTGTATATCTTTGCCGGCCTGATTCATTCAAATGAGCACACATATCAGTAAGAATATATCTTAGTTTAAACATCGTATCAGCATTACTTGTTCGAAGTGCATGATTAATTGTTCTGCAAATAAAAGAATCACGTGTGTACCACTGTACAGCTGCATTCCAATGGTAAGTTTTTTCGAAATTATCAATAGCAGCAAGAGTTACTTGATTATCATTATATATACGACGAAATTCAGCAAACATTTCTGCTTGTGATTCCAATGTTTGTGGCATACAAAGAAGAGTATCAATTGTTCTCTGATGAGCTATGAATACATGAGCTTGTTCTGAATTATAAACAGTCAATGGTAGTGGAATTGGTAATTGTGTATTTTCATCTTTTTGTATAAACTATAAAAGAAAATGATTTAAAAAAACTTTCTTTTTACATCACAATAAAATACTATCTTACACAATGTTGATCAGTAGTATATGATTCAGTATACCATTTAGTTTCATGTTCATCTAAAGGTAGTTGAAGTTTATCAATATCTTGTTTTAATTTGTTAGCAAGTGTTTTAGAATTATTATAAACTCCATGAATTTCTGAATATCCTCTACTCCATTCCAAATGTGAGCCAAGATGAGCACAATAAATATATGCAGCAAAAATTTGTTTCATTAAACATAAACCTGTGGAATATAATTCTTCACCAAGTGTTCCTGAAACAATTAGAAAGATATATCGCTGTTCACGTAATTGTCGTTCAATGAATGATATACAATTTGACACTCTATTGAAAAAGTTCCATTGATATGGTTTAATCGCTTGATTGAGTTCATCGTCCGAATCATTCAATATCTCATCCAACCAGATAAATGAAATCGATTTGTGCTTTGAAGAATCTAATTGCGAATAGTTAAAAGAAGACAAATATCGAAAGCGTTGTTTTTCGGACCATTCGAAGGTAAATCTGGTGCGCTGTCCAGTGGATTTTCTTGCTTTTTGTTCAGGAGTCAATTTAGGCTATTGAATAAAGAAAACGATAAGATAAAAATCAAGTAGTGCCCTTAATCTTACTTCTGCATGAAGATAATCTTGCGCAATACAATCTTCATACCAATCAAATATTTCTGCTGTAACTTCCATTTGTCGTTCAGCAAACGTATTGTAAGCTCGATGAAGTGCCGATTGAAATCGTGGGTTTTCATCCAAATAATTAAAGTTAAGTGGTGCTACTCGTTTAACTTTCCAATCTCGACCAAATATAAAACCAAAATTCCATTTGACTTCATCATCAACATGTTCATTTTCAAGAAATGCACACCAATTATCTTCATCATCCATGATTGCTTGTTCAGATGAAATCATCAATTTACTCCATTCACTTATATTACATAATTTATTGCCATATAAATAAAATCGAATGGGTGATAATTCTTTAATAAGTCGACACATATAATGTGGGTTATCATGATTGAAAAGTAGTTTAGCATATGGTAAAAGTGATAAATGTCTATCACTATTTGGTATATAATCGTTCAATTGACGAATGATCGTTGAAGTATAGCCAAGCTTATTACCTAAGATAGATATTTCCTATAAGTATTACAAGACTTCAATATAGATAGTACTTTCGCAATTCAAATTTTGAAATTAACTAAAAAGATGTGTCAATATTCCTTTATTATGGTCACTTTTACTAAATCAACTGTTCAGAGCAAATATTTGATGATTACTGCTTAGGAAAGATACAAACAAAATTGAAGTGATGTATTTATATACTTACAAACTTTCTGTAATCTCTGTTGAGCACTATCGATATTTTCTTGACTACTATTCAAAGAAATAAGAAGAATATGACAAGGTTCAGCCTAAAATTAAACACAATTAATAAATTCAATTCATATTCATTTATCCTACTTTGAAAAGTGACATAGCCCATTCTTTCAAAACTCGTGCTTGTTTATAATAAATTTTCACTAAAGATATTCGTTCCAATTTAATTTGTTTTTCACCTTCCAATGTTAAAAAACGAATAATATCATTTGTTAAATCTAATGTTAATTGTCGAAATGAATTTGTCATTCGATTTAAATCACCTTGACTATTATCACATATTATGTCTCGTCTATATATAGATACTATACGATGATTTGCTTCAAATTGTAACAAAAGATCGTTGTCAATGGAATCAAGAAGAATTATAAAATATCGTTGTAAACATATGTCTGATAATTGTGGGCTAACATTTACAATTTGCTCAAGCGATGTAGTATTAAATGCAAATAAGGATGATACAGGTAATCGTAAATTAGCACCTGCAATGCTTGCACTACATCCAAATATCACTACAATTGGTTCGAACGAAGCCATTGTATTTAAGTTACTTCCTATAATGTGAAGCTATCAACGTCGTGTGTTCTCTTTCTATGTGTATGAATGAGAAAGAGAAAGGTTAAAACACGTGTTGTTCGAAAGGTATATGTGACGTTAACTGATCGTTGGTAAAAAGAAAATTAAACATATTTTCTATGTTGGAAAAAACCACAATGTCCTACAGTGCACTTATCAGTAACATTTTTTTATTGCGAGTTATGTTGGAAGAATTAAAATAGCATACTGTCATTTTCCTTTTCGTATATTTGCTGAAGTGTAGTAAACATGTAGCGAGACAATGCAGGTATAGATATTTTTATTATTGAAAAACGAAATGCTAAACAACTTATATTGATTTAAATAATCATTTTGATGTTCATTATGAATATTAGTTATCTATGAGATTTTGCTTAGTTTTTATATATAATTTCTATCTTTCAAACTATATAGACTAGTCGACATACACGTGTTATGTGTTTCTTTTATTTATCTTTCATATGTTTTTTTTCATTCTGTTTCTTACATTATAGAGAACAATATTTTTTTCTTCTTCCGTTTCAAGTTGGAAAGAAATACTGTGGTAACATTGTTTCAATTCTACAATAATAAAATGTCTGTGAAACAAGATTCATTATTCTGTACATTACCAGTTGAACTTATTTATCATATTTTTCGTTATCTCGATGCACAAACAATTGTTCGATCAATTCGTATTGTTTGTAAACGATTCTATACCATTGTGAATGTATATGACAAATTTAATTTCAACTTTGATTCAATTGTAAAATCTGATTTTCATTATCTTTGTAATCTTATTTTACCTAGAAATGTTAAATCATTGACATTATCTAATAGCAATGAAACACCAGGTCAAATTGAATATTTTCTCTCGCGTTTTCGTATCAAACAATTTATTCAACTTAATTCATTGAATCTATTTCAAATTGATGATTGTCAATTGGGTATTATTTTAAAAGATATTCAAAAGTTGCAACTCACTTCATTATCTATTAATTCAAAACAAGATTATTCAGACAACAATACAATTTCAGATGATTTATCATCAGCCATTTCTTTACCTAGTCTGCAGAAACTTACTTTGAATATTCCAAGTTGTGATATATCTAAAATAGTATGGCCTATTGGATGTACAATACAACATCTGTATATATATTGTCGTACTATTGATGAATATTGTAATATTCTTTATACTTTACCTAATCTACGAACATTAGTAGTAGAAGGATTAAACATGGATGATACTTCTGGAATAATACCTAATCTTCCTAATTTAACAGCAGTTTGCCAGCTATTTTCGTTAACATTCAAATATTGTACGCTTGATACAGCAATGCTTGAATTTTTACTCTCATTTACACCTACACTTGAACATTTTCATCTGATTCAATCCATTGATTTAGATGTTTTTATATCCTATTTACCACAATGGCAAACGTTTATTGAAACAAAACTTCTGTTGTTGAATAAATTCAATTTTTTCCTCGTGCGACATGCTCAACTTATTACTATTCCTGTTGATACCGAACAACTTATGACTCCATTTCGAACAACATTCTGGACTGAAACTAAACAATGGTTTGTTATATGTGATTATATAATGAGTTCAAATATTCTTATTCTCTATTCATCATCATTTTTCGATCCTCAATTTGAATTTATCTTTGAATCAAAACAAATTTCACGTTCAACTTCAACTTCAACAATCAATAACACTATAATAATGGATGAAGTGCAGAAATTGCGTTTGGATTTAACTAAAATGATGATTTCAGCTACATCACCACAGGTATAATTAAATAGAGTTTCATCTTATGTCTAAAGATATGATTGGAATAGTTGAAGATTTCCAAAATGCTTTCCTCAATATCGATATTTTCATACAATTAAATAGATTTCATTTTGAAAGGTAATGCAAATAGATAATGCTAGTCAGAAACATAGTTCGAACTCTTTGACAATATAAGAAATATATTATTGTGATCTTTACTTCTTTCTTACATACGTTCTCTCTGTTACCGACATTGTAAGTGACAGCTCTTCGTCAAATAATTTGTATATCATGTATTGTCTGCATACATCAGGCTTGAACATTTTTTTGTACTAAAATATTATACTTTATGATATTTCACTTTTTAATTACTCTTTTTTTTGGTATATAGGGTGGTTTACCAAATAAAACAATATTCCCTAACCTTGATCAATTAACATTATGTCTTACTGACTCTTGGCCACTCTGTTCACTTCGAGCTCTTTCAACTCTTATTAATCTATCGCATTTGACCAAAGTTTCGTTAGAATTTCTTGACTCCTTCGATTATTATTCGGAATCAATGACAAATATTGGTTCGTTATTGAAATTAGCACACAACATCCATTCACTTACAATATCAATTTCTAGTCTTTATAAAAGCATAACCGATGATAATATGGAAATATGTTCCATAATTCCTGATCATGTAAGACATCTGACAATTTCAGTATCTTCAGTGCATCAAATGAGAATGGTCATAAGACAACGTAAATATCTATCAAGCATCAAGTTTCAATACACAAATTCTTTTCTTTATTGGTCTGAAATGCATGCGGAATGGTTTAAGAACGAAAATGGATATTATACCTATCAATTAAATAACTCTTCTCTATGCATATGGCTCGATAATTATTCAAAGACATTATAAAAAAAACTGTCTAATAAAAAATAAGATGAGCGAACTGATCGATTTTTTTTCGAAGCAAGTTAATCTTGATTTGTATTTTATAGTAATTGATATATACCGAAACCTTTAGTATCATCAATGAGATAGCACACATTCCTGTTCTACAAATGATTCACCAATATAAAATATGTGTTCTCACTAAGTAAAACTACAATGGAATTCGTGAATTTAATCTGTCATGCACAAGAAACTATTTTTTTTGTCACTTATGTGATAATATTCACTCGTAAGAACTTTAAAAGGATGTTGTAGTATTGAGAAGCTCTGCGCTGATAATTTTTTTTAATTTGATATTAGAGACAAAAGCATTGTGATCTATTTGTTATTCAAGACATCCGAAATTCAATATCGTCAATTTTCTTTGTCAATATTTCAGAGGTGTTATATGAAAACAATCATATCAAATTTTCCTTTGTCGAAATTTTTAATTAAAAGAACATACAAATCATAGATCTCTCTTGTGATCAGATTACTTGACTTAACAAATAATTTTTTTTAATTAAAAAGGACATATCGAAGACAAAGAAAAGAAAAGGTTCGATTTTCGTAAAAATGTCCTGGTTAATTATAGAATTCATTTGTTGTAACACATGCGATCGAGAATGAAACAGAACTTTAAAATAGATACACATAGTAAACGTTTTAAAGTATTGATATTTATGAACTCTACTGGTCATTTATTAGTTTATTCCAGTCGCATTCAGTCATTAGAAAAATGAGTTTCTACATAAATAAATACGATTTTTCGTTGCCTTTGTGAAGTTTGACACCTTAAATCCCTCGATAATTGTAAAACAATACCATATTTTCTCATTTTTCAATTTGGTAGTATTATTAAGAATGAAAAAGAAATAAATATTTTATCTTTTGTCAATAAAGATACAGATATCTTTATAAATTTCGTTAACTTGTACAAAAACAATTCATTCTTTCAGTCATTGATCTAAGATCAAGATGCATCACAAAATGGTGATTATTATTGGTCTTATCATCGTTGGTTTAACTGGAATTCACTCCAATGATGAACTCATGTGTAATTGTTCGTGTTGCATCGACAAACAATGTAGAAAAATATCACAAAATGATTTTAGTGTATCAACCTGTGGATCATGTCAATCAATATGTCAAAGCAAGTTTTCAGCAGCATGTACGAAAATGTCTAGTACTGTTTCTTATAAATGTACTAATGGCACTATGGCATCGCGACTATTAAATGAACCCGATTGGATTGGTGAATTTCGAATGACAGACGATTGTGATACAGAATCATGTTGTTGTTTGACTGATCTCGTACAATTTACGCGTGTAAATGTCAATAATTTGCATATTCAAGGTCAATTTTTTGGGCAATGTCCAAGGGCTTCACTTACTATTGAGGATATATATATGATGCCCAATGACTTTTCTGCTAACTTTAATTTTTTGAATCGATTGGTGTCAGCTAAACTTTCCAGTGATAGTCGTACTATATCTTTTATGGAAACAGATAATCTTGCTTGTCGTTACAAAGCAGTTCGAGAGAATGCTGCATCGATGATTGCAATCAATTGGATGTTTTTCATTCTTATTTGTGGTATAGTCAATGTTAAAAACTATATCATCTAACAGTGATTACATATTTACCTTATTTTCAATTATTTTTTTTTTGCTATTTGGACAGCTTTATTTAAAAATATATATCATCAATAAACAAGACACCTTATATTTCCATCAATAATCATTCATATAATTTCAAATTATTATATAGAATTGAAATACCTGTTTTTATGTGCTAGAATTCTTAGGTAGCTTTTTATCCGTTGCAGTTTTTCACTTTATCTTATAGGCAGTTTTTTAAAGCAAAAAAAGAGTAGAATATATTCCAATAGATCATCAATCAAATAACGTCAACAGTTTTAAATTTTAAAGAAAATTATTATTAAATCATAACAATTTTGTGTGTACTGGACATATCGAGTGTAAGTTGTTTCATATTCAAAATTTTCTTCTCATTATCATATGTCCATTGTGTTGTTGGATTTAAATCTTGTCCATTTAATGTAATTCTAGTTGGTTCTTTATTCATACCAAATATTTTGATTTCTTCTAATTTAATTTGCTTATCCATTTCTGGATAATCATATGACCATGGTTCAAGAGTTAAACGTTGAGAATTATATGTAAAAATAAAATGATTGAAATTAGACGTTTCATATGTATCAATAGATTCACCATCATCCCAAAATAGATCTCCTTGAGCTTTTTCTTTCTTATCAAGAGCTATAATAAGATAGAATGGTTTCTGTCTTGATAATACCGTATTCATAGCTGATTGTTGATGAGGTATAATAGCTCCACCACGTAAAAATAATGGAATATGATCTAATGGTGCTGAAACAGTGATTTGACCGAGTGTTTTCTGTTCTTCACCAGTATAATAGTCAAACCATCGTTCCGTTGTTGGTAAATAGACGGATTTAACCGAATGATTTTCATAAATAACTGGAGCAATAAGTAAATTTGATCCCCATAAGAATTGTTCATCAATTGACCAACATTCTGGTATTGAAGGAAATTCATGTGCCATTGAACGAACAACAGTTCCACCACTTCTATGAACTTGATGAAATAATGTATATAAATATGGATTAAGAGTATAACGTATTTCGACAGCACGACGATTTGAACGGACAGCAGGTGCAGCCCAATTTCCTGGATCATGATCTCGATAATTTAAACCATTATGATTTCGAAAGAATGGATTAAAAGCACCTAAATTAAATAATGAAAAGAAAATGGTTTTGAGAAATAATATATATATATATATATACTGACCTAATTGCATCCATCGTTGACACATTTGCTCGGTTGTTTCTGCTTCAAATCCACAAATATCTGCGCCAACATATGGAATACCAAATAAATTGAATTCTAATATTCCAATAATATTATATTTAAGATGTGCCCAATCTGCACGATTGTCACCTAACCAATGTCCACTCAGTGCACCGGATGTAGGAAATGTTGATCGACTGATTACAACAGATCGTTTATTGTCAGTAGCACGTGCTGCTGGTAATGAAGCTACTGTTTCTGACCATCCATAAAGATTATGTACATCATAATGTTTATAGATTTTGCCTTGACCATCTGTTTGTTCACCAATCATACACATAGTTTTATCTGATAGATATTGTCCTAGAATAGCTGTTTTATATTTTGGTGTTTCTAATGGTTCATCTTTAGGACAGTGTAAATTCCAATCTGGTTTATAATCAGGATAATTAAAAGGTCTATTTGCGTTTGTATCGAAATTTGCTGGTTCACTATCAATGATTAAATGAAATTATTAGATGATTATTGCAAATAAAACTCACTTCATATCAATCCAAAGACCATCGAATTTAAGTTTTGAATAATAAGCGAGAATTTCAGATTTCCACCATTCTTTTGCTGGTGGATAGAAAAAGTCAGGAAATACAGTCTTACCTAAAAAAGAATATAAGTAATACAAACATTGATTAACGAAAAACGTTCACAATTATTAAGGCATATTTTTTTATCCACCCTCGAAATATTCATAATCGCTATTAAACTTAAAACATAACTAACCATCAGGCCATACATAACCGAGCATATTTCTATTTCCAGTTTCGTTAAATTGAATATTTCGATGTGTTGGCCATTTAATCCAAATATCTTTTTGTTGTCCTCTAGTAAAAACATCATAATTTTTTGCTTCAGAATCGATAGCTGGATCAAGAATTGTAATAAATTTCATTCCAAGTGCATGTAACCAATCAACATATTCAGGTAAGCCTTGGAAATTTTCAGGATCCCATGTGAAATCAAGTCGTTTGTCAAAGTAATCAATATCACCATACCTAATAATCAACAACAAAAGAACATCAATATAACTGTTAAAAGATTTATTCTACTCACATAACATCGAGAGGAATACCTGCATCCAGAGTTCGCCACATAGCTGCTCTCATATTTTCTAATGAATTGTAACCATATCGACAAAGTTGAAAGCCAAGTGCCCAATAAGGTGGCATATATGGTTTACCAATCACTTCTTGATATTGTCTAATAACATCTTCCGGACGAGGTCCTGCAAAAAAGAGTACATCTAAAATTCCACCTATTGTACGATAAGTAAGCGTGGCTTGATTATCTGCAAATTCATCAAATTTATAATCTTGTGCATTTGAATTAAAAATAAGAACACCAAAAGCCTGTCCATCGTCTTCAATACCCATATAGAATGGATGAGCACCATATAAATTTTCATTTCCTCCATATGGTTGTTGATCACGACCAAATATGCCATAACGAAGTGAATCTCTAAGAGTATGTCGAAAAGTTCGATGAGTATTTTCACCAAAACCTTTGAAAATGAAAATAAATTATTTTGTATATTTATTCAAATATATATTTTTTTTCTCTACCATAATTATTTCTCGATGGAGTTGTTGTTATTATTTGAATATATTGATTATCATAAATAAAACCTTCTGCAAATAATGAAGTATCAAATAGAATTGATTGTGTACTTGTACGTCGAATTCTAAAACCAATTTGTTCATTAACAGTTTTAGTTATTTCAAATTTAAATTGAGCTGGAGAACTGTTAGTTGGAACCATTGGATGCCATTGTATAGGTACAGGAACTTCATATCGTTCTGCATTTGAATCACGTATTGTCATACGTATTTTAGAAGAACCTGAAACACTGACTTGAACATTTAAATTTTCAATATCCTTGCCATATAAGGAGAAATTTGTTTTTGAAAGACGATCAAGTGAATATTGAGTGACAGCATCAGAAATTTGTTTTGCTGGTTTTGTCATGCCGTAACCACCTTTTTCTTTGGGAACATAACAAGCTACGATACCTGGTCCTTGACTTAAATCCCAAGCACATCCACGAGCAATACATGTATGATCACTTGCACCTAAATTATTTTATTATATAAATTCAAGAAAAGAGAAGATTTATTTTTCTTACCAGAATCAGGAAAACAATCTACTCGATATTTTGGATTAGCAAAGATAATTGCAGGTGCTTCGATAGTTGCATTTTCTGAAATTTGCCATGTAAAAGTATGATTTTGACTCATTGATAATCCCAATTCTTTAATATCAATAATTTGAGTATTAGGTCGTTTGATTGGTTCAAATTGCTTATTATTAACATTAATTGTAGTTAGTATTTCATCCATTCCATAGATATTCAATGCATTCAAGATTAAATTTGACATTTCTGAATAATTATTTTCAATAACATTTATAGACAATTGACGATCTTTTGATGACCATTTATATACAGCATAAAAATAAGATTTTGTACTGATCGTATCAATTGAGTCACCATCATCATAGAAAAGATCACCTTCAGCATTACCATATGAATCAAGTACAATGGTTAGATTAAATGGTTGTTTTCTAATTAATACAAATTTTTCAATATTTAAAAGATCTATATTTATTTAATTTACCTTGAAAATTTTGTATTATTAGCATATTCTTGTGTTGGAATAATTATTCCACCCCTTAATAAAATCGGAATTGTATTTAAAGGTGCTGGCATTGATATAAATTGTTTTTGTGCAATAATTCGTGAACCAGTATAATAATTATACCAATGTGTTGATGGAATATAAACTCGAACTTGTTCAGCACCTTCATCAGTTACAGGTGCTATCATTACATGAGATCCAATTAAAAATTGAAGAAAAATATCAAGTGTTGTTCTATCAGTTGGATATTCATGAAATAATGGTCGAATTACTGTTGAACCTTGTGTATGTGCTTTGTAAAATAATGTATAATAGTAAGGAAGAAGTGTATAACGAATACGAAGAGCAGACGCCATTATATTTACTGCATATGATGTCCATGAAGCAGGATCTTGATCAGGTTTTTTCCAAGCATTATGCTGAAAAATAAAATCGTTTTTTCTCGTGTATAAAAGAAAATTTATTTAAAAACATACATTTCGGGAAAATGGGTAAAAAGCACCGAGTTGCATCCAACTAGACATAGAATGAAATAAATTATAAAATAGAAATGATTTAATAATTTACCGAATACACATTTCTTCATTTGGTGTTTGATCGAAACCACAAATATCTGCACCATTAAATGGTATACCAAACCAATTAAATTCAACCATTCCAATTAATGATTGTTTCATTTGAGCCCATGTTGCACCATTATCTCCAAGCCAATGGCCACTCCATTGACCTGAACCAACAAAAGTTGAACGTGGTAAAACTAAACTTCGTTTGCCCGTAACTTGTTGCATTGCATCTAATGTCGGTTTTGTTTGACTCCAACCGTATAAACTATTTAAAAAAAAACATTCAGAATTTTTATTGAGAATTTATTACATCAAAAATATATCATACTTGTGTACATCATAATGACGATATTTTGGTTTACCCGTTCTTATATCGATTTCACCTTGCTGAGCTGACATACAGAGAGTACGATCGGAAAGACGACTTGGTTTGCTCAATCCTCCATCGTAACCAAACGCAGCTTTCGTTCGATAAGGAGGATCATCAAAACGATTAAATGGACATTTTAGAGTATGATTACTACCAGTTTCAATTGAATTCCATGGTTTTTCGTCATTTGTGTCGAATAGAGCTATCCGATAAAAATAAATATTTATTCACTTAGTTTTTCATAATGATACGAAAAGTTACATACCAGGTTCATTCATATCGATCCAAAGTCCATCAAATGTAAGATTAGCACGTTGAAAATTCTTTATCCATCGTATCCACCATGCTTGAGTTCGATTTGTTAAGAAATCTATTGATAATAAATAGAAATCAAAATAGTATTTTATTCGTTTTCATAAATTTTTTGTTAGAAACTAACCTGGAAAGAATACTTCACCTGGCCAACAAGCTCCTTTCATTAATTGTCCATCCTCCCATTTGATAAAGACATCTTCTTGAATACCTTCAATTGTTGGAGCATAGTAACGTTGATCATCAATAGTTCCTGGATCTAAAATGACAATTGTTCGCATACCATCATTATTGAGTTGATCAAAATATTCTTTTAAGCCACGATAATTGATTGGATCAATTGTAAAATCTTTTTCAGCATCCATATAATCAATATCAGCATATTGAATATCAATTGGAATTCCAGCATCTAAATTACGTTGAACAACTCTTTTCATATGTGTCAAATTTCCATAATCCCAACGAGCAAGTTGAAAACCAAATGACCAATATGGCGGTAAAATTGATCGACCAACAAGCCATGTATATTGTTGAATAACTTGTTCTGGTTTTGGACCAAGAAATACAAAAAAATCAAGAATACCACCGATTGTACGCATAGTTAATGATGGTGTAGGTGAAAATGAATAATCCATAGCATTTGAATTCAATAATAGAACACCATGCATATTACCTGATGGAATATCAGATGAATTTGATTGTTGTTCCATAACAAGATAAAATGGATGTGAACCATAGTGATTAGTATTCTTAGCCCAATGAGTACCTTGATCTCGAGCAAAGATACCCCATGTTCGCTTCTCCTTGACATCATGTTTTAATGTTTCATGATTGTTTTCACCGAATCCAAAAATATGTGGTGATTGAAGTCGAGTAACAATTTGAAGAAATTGATCATTGAGTATAAGACCACCAAGAGATGTATCAAATAATATAGCTTGATCAGAAGCACGTTTCACAGAAAATGACAGAATATTATCACGTGAAGGATCCGACCAATAATTAAATTCATATTGAGTAGATGAAGCTCGACCGGGCGAAGAAGCTAATGGAATAGGTACCTGAAAGAAAGGAAAATAAAATAATATTGTTTAGTATTTCTTATAAGTTTTACTTCATATCGTTCATTATCTTCATCATACAATTTAAATCTAAGTATATCATTTGTATAATACTCTATATCGAGAATAACATTTTCGATTGCGTCTGGGTACATACTACCCACTGCCCGATTTCGTCGTAATCGTAGTCGAATACCATTTTCTGTTTGTTGAGGATCTTGTTTCAGAATATATCCATAGTTTGGTGATAAATAACACTGTGCAGTGTTTGGTGGCGTCCATTCATCGTATAGACAACTACGTGCAAGACATGCCTCCTTCGAATAACCAGCAAATTGAGAGCCAGCATCTGGAAAACAATCTATTCGTTGGTTAGGTTCAATTGAACGTTTATGAACAGATATACCGATTGTATATCCGCATAGAACATAGAATAATATAAGGAAATATATATTAGCCATCACAACACAAAGATCAGTTTCTAAAATTGAAAAAAGAAGACGTTATACATTAGAAAGATTGAAATGATCGTCTCATTCTATATTCTAAAGTACAAAAAAAATAAACTGAGTGCGTAATAAATATGAATAGAGAATATATATTTCTATTTTTTTATTTGTGATAGAATCAATTTGTTTTCAGAGAATAGATTCTTTCCAACGGAGAGATAATAGTAATATATTCCATAGGTCTTTTAAAAGCTATTAAATCCTTTATTTTTCAATTTTATTCAATTAAAAATATAATGATAACGGATCATATTTCGTTATTTTGTTTTCATTCAAATCATATTAAAAAAGATTTATTTTGTATATCAATGAAAATATTCAATTTATTCAATAATATCATATTACTAATAAAAAAATATTAACAACTTACAATAAATATATGAAAATACGTCGTAGAATTATTTTAATCTAGTAAATTACCGCGCATTCTATTCAGTATACTTAATTAAATATATATTTCTCTTTGTCAGATGAATTCATCCTCAATAGAATGTATAAGTTTGTCTGGAAAGTTCATACAACTGAACCTTAATTGCATGACAGTAGTGTCAAACTTGAAAGTTGCATTCAACTATTACTTCAAGTTTCAAGTATTACATATATAACATTTCTTATAAAATCATACGCTATTTTATTTAATAATATGTATAATTTTACTTAAATCATATTTTCATTTTATTTATTTAGATTTCTTTCTTGTATCCGGCTTGAAATAAGTATAATTTCATTTTTACCATCTATTCAGATTTAACTAATGGATAAGAACAATGATAGGTCAAGTTTTATTTCAATAATATAGTTTTTTTCCATTTAGAAATGTTTGTTGATTATGAATGTTATTAATTATAACTTTTTTTTAAATAATGTCTTTGATTTCTGTATTCAGATTTATTCCATGGGCATACATGAAAGATAATAAATAAAATTTAATTTAAATAATATATTTTTTCTATATTTAGAATTATCTGATGAATACGAATGATGTTAATTATAAATTTATTTTTATAATTTCTTTGATTTCTGTATTCAGATTTCTTTCATAGGCATGCATAAACGATGATAATTAAACTTTTACTTCAATAATATTTCCCTATTCTTATTTATATTTGTTTAGTAGATACAAATGACGGGAATTGTAATTTATTATAATTATACATTGGTTTTAATAATGTCTAATTCAGCTTTATTTTCTGAGTATAAGCGAAGAAGATAAGTATAGTGTGAGGATGAGGTTATGGATGTGAGTGGAATACTTTAAAAGTTGAGTAGATTATCATACTCGAGTACTCGAATTATAAACTTTCAAATTCGTAACGAATTAACGAGTTCTACACTACTGCAGATGTCAACGAAATGTAAAGAGAAATTAATGAGATTTTTTATCCTGAGCACTATCTTGTCATCCATTTTTACCGTCATGAACAGAAGTTGAAAAGATTTAGAAAGAAATTAATTATTCTCTCTTTTTGTTCTAAAGTGTGCTTCTGATAGAAGTGTAAGATAGGTAAGAAGAAATCATTTATTTAATTCACTATTTACAAACAGTATTAAAACTACGATTTGGAAAGAAATTAGTTATTTTGGATTTCCATCCCAAGCAGCAATGCTACAAAAAATAAATTTTTAACAGTGGAAATATCAAATATTTAAGGAGAAATTCCGGTATAGGTGTGGGTATGATGAAATACATAATGCGTAGATATCACAAAAACCATTTCTTCTTCAATTGAAAAGTTCTTGTACGCGCAAACCGTAATGATTCATATATATATGTTTTGCTTCATTTCTCTATGATATACATGATTTTGTAAGGATCAAACATCTCTTTCTAAAGCGGAGCAATTTTTCTATCGACGAATCCGATGGTTCATTGCTACATATGTAATGAGAAAATCTTTTTGTGTCATTCCTCCTCTCTTCAAATTATAGACTTCATTGAATGTATATATTTAAATTTGTCTTTTCTTCTTTCAGTGTGGATTTTTAACAAGAAATAGAGATTTAGCGTAGCATTAATTTTAAACATGTCTTCTAATGTGATCCTGGCTTCAGATATCGCTCAACTTCAACTTGTATCACAATACGTTTGCACAATATTTGGCTTTATCATTCTTTTATTTGGCGTTCCAGGAAATCTTCTCAATATTCTTACATTCATTACATTAGGAAATTATAAACACAATGCGAGTTCACTCTACGTTCTCGCTAAATCGTTTTTCGATTTGTTCAATCTCTTAGCGGGTCTATTCCCGTTGATTCTTAATCGTGGCATTGGTATTAACTCAATATCGACAAATTATGTGTGGTGTAAAACTCGAATTCCTGTACTCTATATTGCCGGATTCTGTTCATATACATGTATCTGTCTCCATTCAATTGACACATTCTTGGCCACATCTAATTCTGCTTATTGGCGTCGAAAAAGTAATGTACTAACAGCTCGCTTCTTAATCGTTGGATTTCTTTTCCTTTGGATAGGACATGAAATACCTTATTTCTTTTTCCAAGATCTAATCAACTTAAGATGTGTATCGACCAATGCTATATATGC